GCCACACTTGGAATGATGGCCTTTGTCCTCTAAGGTCAGCATTACCTGTGATGGACCCTGCAGTCCTGAGGATTGCTGAACACCCACCTACCCATGGGAAGTGGTGAATGTATTCCTTGCTTTGCTCTGTTTGCATGCATGGCTTTTGCTTTCCCTATGACATTGATTTTATTTCAGTCCACATCTTTTCTCGTTCTTGCCCTTGACTGTCTCTCTGATCCTGCTGGTGGGGCAGTGAGTGAGTGGCTGTGTGGGCCTCGGTGGGTGGCTGGGGTCAAAGCCCGCTGGTGTCACAGCGAGGGACACCTGCAATCCCCTGCAGCCATGGCTTTGGGCTTGGGCAGCGCTCAGCAGCTGGAGAGGCTCTGGTGCCCCAGGGCAGTGTCACAGCAGGACACGGGGTGAAGGTCCAACCATGGCTGTTGAACATGACCAGTGGGTGACGCAGGATGTCCCCAAAGGCCGGTGACCTGGGGCAGCTGGAAGGGCTTGCTGACGTCTTGTGGGCCGCTTGCATCCCCCAGGACCCGTGGGCCTCTCTCTGGGAGCCGCTGTCCCTGCAGCTGGCTCCAAGCCCGGTGTGCCAAAGGAACCTTGTGCCTGCTCTGATTGCAGGGCATTGCACCACGCTGCCCCAGGGATGTGCCAAGGCCTGACGGGGCCCTGCTGCTGGCCACTGCTGCTGGCCACAGCTGGTGAGAGGTTTCTGCCCTGCTCCCAGGGGGATGTGGGCAGACAGGGCAGATCAGGCATCCTGGCGTGGCAGGGGGTGCTGGCTCTGTACCCACACTGTTGCTGGCCAGCACGGGGAAAGATCTTCTTCTTCCAGATTGTTCAAGCAAATCACAGTGACAGCACTTCTTTTAAATCTGTTTAGGAACATCATATCCATGAGAGAGCAATGACCTGGCACTGGGCTCAGTGGGAGTAAGACAAGAGATAAAGCACAGATTTGATCCAAAATATTGAATGAGCAAAAATCCCCAAATTCCCTTTTCTAACCGGTTCTAGACATCCTAATCAAAAATCCTGCCCAGCCCTAAGAATGGGGGGCTGCCAGTTCCCCTCCCTTCCCACAGGGCAGTTTCCCTGTCTGTACACCCTTGCCTTTCAATTTTTGTGGTGCTCTGGCCTTATCTGTACCCCAGGCTGCTGCCTAGCAATTTCCTCAGCAGATACTGGGGGAAAGTGCCCCACAAATTCACACCTGCTCACCTCTGGTCTGGCTCTGTTGTCAGGCAATGTGGCTGTAAGCCAGTAAGGTGTGCTCAGGGCTAAGGCAGTGGATGGAGGGCATCATTCCCATCTGTTCAGCCCTGATGAGGCCTCACCTGGAATGCTGTGTCCAGTTCTGGTCTTTCTGGTATAAGAGAGACATGGACATACTGGAGAGAGTCCAGTAAAGGGCCACAAAGGTGGCAGAAGAGAAGGAGTATCTTCCATATGAGGAAAGGCTGAGAGAGCTGGTGGTGTCCATATTACGAAAGAGAAGACTGAGAAAGTTGTGATCAGTGTTTGTAAAGATGTGATGGTGGTCAAGAGATTACTCCAGAATCTTCCTACTGGTCTTCAGTGACAGGACAGGAAAAGAGTAGCAGGCACAAACTGAAACACAAAATAAATCTCATCTAAACATGAGAAAACCTTTCTTTTTTTTTTTTTCCTAAAACTGAAGGTGCTCAAACACTGACACAGGGTACCCAGAAAGGGGGTGGAATCTTCATTCTCAGAGATATCCAATGGTCCCATTGTTGACCTTGCTTGAGCAGTTGTTGAAGCACATTGCTCCAGAGGTGCCTTCCAACCTCTCCAGCACTGACTCTGTCTCTGTCCCTGCCTCTTACCCCCTTTGCTGCCAGCCCAGGAGCTGGCTGCAGGCTGCTCACAGCACCTGACCAGGAGGATGCTCTGCCAGGCCTGGGTTGGAAGGTTGGAGGTTGGAACACTCCAAAGCAGGGCTCCTTTGGGGTGGGCCCCACAGTCTCTGACTCTTGTCATTGCCCCTCCAAGGACCCTCCTTCAGACTTGGAACTTTCATGTTTCTCCTCAGCTGACAACTCCTGAATTTTAAAAGTACCTTTTCTAATTCCCTAGTCACTTTTAAATCCTACTGCCGGCCATATTACTCCTTTATGAGCAGTTTGGGGCAAGCACCTTCAGAAAGCATCACCTGTTTATTATCACCTTCTTTTTGTAGCATTGCTCTCTAGGCCAGCTGCCACAGTTGGGCTGGGTAAGACCCACCAGACCAGCACAGAAGAAGGTGAGTTTTCAGGCAGAGCACATAAGAAATTCACCTTCTCTGGATAAACCCACCTCTTGTTCTCCTTCTCCACTCCTCAAAACTGCCCAGATCAAGGCAGCTTTCCCATGGCACTGCCTGCAACCTGTCTGCCCTGGGGAAAGGGGCTGGACTCACCATCCTGGGCCTCCAGCAGTGGTAAGGACAGTGGTGACAGGGCAGGATTGGAAAGTACCTGGCAGACCCCAGGCACCTCCTCACCACCACACTCAGAGCACAGGGATGCAGTGGGACCCCCGGCCAGCTCAGGCAAAGGCCACGGGGAGGCTCAGAAGAGATTGCGCAGATCCAGGGACATGGTGTAGCTGAGCCCCAGCTGGGCTGGAGCCAAGCGCAGCCCTGTGGCCGTCCAGCCCAAGCAGGGCTGGCAGGGGAGGACAGCAGGGGAGGGCCGGGCTGTGCCCCAGCACTGCATAAAAAGCCACCGCAGGGCCAGGGAGCAGTGAGCCTGTGAGAAGAGCCCAGAGCAGCAGTGCCAGAGCTGTAGGAGAAGGGCCATGGAGCAGTACTTCTCAGCCACACAGAAGATGGAGCAGGAGGTGATGTTCCCCAGCCTGCTGCGAGGGGTCTTCCCGCAGGAGGAGGGAGCAGCCCCGGCTGCCGAGAGCCGCACGGACCTCTACGAGCGCTACCAGCTCCTCAAGGCCATCAAGCCCATGGTGGAGAAAGGCCTGGCCTCTGGGGGTGACCAGAGCCCCAGCAGTGCTGACACCGACACAGACCCAGCCTTAAATGAGGGTGCAGACAGCAATCTGGAAGAACGCCTGTCCCATCATGTCAATGGCTTGCAGCAAGTTCTGACAGACCTCACCAAAAACACCAAGGCCCTGACCCGGAGGTACAGCCAGATCCTGGAGCAGATCAACCTTAGTGAAGATCAGTCCAGCTCTTGAGCCTGCACTTCCCGTCTCTGAGGTAAGAGCTTGGGGACACGCAGTGCCAAGGAAGAGCTGGCTGAGGGGTAACAATACGTTGTCCTCATGCCCCATCAGCTGTGTGGTGTTATAATGTTTGCATTACACCCCCAAATCCCAGGAGTTCTGAGTCTGCACTTCATTGCTCAATGGAAACATCCTCCTGGATTCGTCTTTCTCAATTGCCATTGGTGCATGCTCTGTCAGCAAACAAAGGCAACTCTGTGAGCTTCATGCTGTCCCCAAGACTCCCCAGTTTGCAGCAATGCAATGTCTTTCTGCTGCTGGCCAGACACTAATGATCCCAGGGACAAAAGGGATGGGTGGTTGAAATACTGTGACTGGATTCCAGGAGCTGCCAGTCACTGGTGCTCCAGTTATTTATCTTTTTTCTCTGGTGGAAAATGCAACAGTCATTTTTAGGGAGGAGTTTGGCACTTTCAGGTTTCCAAATATCTAACTCTGGCACACCACCTGCAAACAGCTCAGACACTTCAGTCTTCCCCTAGCCTGAAATGCAAAACCATTCTCCATGCTGGTGGGACTTTGATCCCCTGAGGCCCCTTGGGGAGACATCCCCGTGATCCATTAAAGATGGGGGCTCATGGCCAAGGTCATTGTAGTGAAATGGATAGCGTAGAAAAATAATAACAACAAAAGAGGGCATTAAGAGGACTTTACCCTTATTTAGGAAGACAGCCAGACAAGAATGAGGACATCCTGACCATGTGTGTTATCCCCACAGGGTCTGTTCTCCAAGTCCAGTGGCACTTCTTCTCGTGAGTCAAGTGCCACTGAGGAGCATCCTTTGTGGGCAGCACAGAGCTTGGCTGTCTGCCTGCTGGGTGCTGTCTGTACCATCTGACTTGTCCCGTGGCCGATCCTGCCGGCAAGCTTCCTGCTTCGTTTCACTCCTGTCCTAGGGGGATTTCTGCGGGGCAGAAATGAGTGGTTTGTGTTGCTGCTTTGTAGAAGGCATCTGTAACTTTGAAGGGATGCTTTTTTCTGTGTGTGCCTAAACCCCTCCAAATCATTCTCTTTGGAAATGTAAATAAAATGCAAAGCCTTGTGCAGATGTGTCCTGTGTTTCCTACCAGCTGTCACTTCTGTCAAACTACCATCCCCCAGCACATGAGGGTGAAGCACCTGGGCCACCAAGGCCACACTTCAGTGCAGGGAGATGAGCTGGGTTTCTTTGGCAAGGCTTTGAGATTAATCTTCCCCCATCCCTCTGTCTCTCCCACCTCGCAAAACCTCAGTAATCCTGTCATCATTCTGTGCTTGGAGCTAAATCCCAACCTGCTCCCCAGCATCCTTCCTTCCCTCCCACAACATCCCCTTCTCTCCTGGATTCCCAGCACCGTGTCCTCTCCTGTGAACAACCTGTTGGAATCTTCACAAGCTCCTGCAAAACAGGCGAGGCAGTTCTGCTCCTCCTTGCTTGGTCATGACACACTCCAGAGCTGGACACAGAGGAGGAGGTGGGGATGCTCAGCTGGAGTAGGAAGGCAGGACCTTGCTCACTTCAGATCCCTGTGAACTCTGGGAAAACCAGGACAAAGCCCTCACTGAGTGGGTGGACAGGAGCTACAAGCTCTTCACAGGCAGGTAAGACCCTTCAGGACAGGCTGAGTCCCACCTCCAAGGGACTCATTTCCTCCCAGACACACTGCTCTTAGGAAATCCTACTGAGCTGGGCACTAGAGGAAAGTGCCCCCTTGCCTGTTCAGGACATTTAAAAAAAATCTCCGCTGTTGAAATAGTGCTCCTTTGGCTGAACAGTGCTTCTCCATCAACTTTCCACTTTTGACTATAAAACTTGAGATCTCTGAGCATCTGTGGTGAGAGGAGGATTGCCACCAACTCCTGTGTTGCAGGCTCTGGTTGTGTTGTTCATGTTGCTAAAGGTGCTCTCTGAATCTGCCGTATCACAGAAGTGAAATGACATCCTTCAGGCTGAAATCAGAGACTCATCAGCTCCAAAAGCCTCCATCTAAAATGAGCAGATGTTCTGCAGATGGCATGCCTGTTTCCTCCCTCACCTCCAGGCAGCTCCATGTCTTGCTTACGTATTCATGTTGACCCCTTTAGCGGGGTCCTGATAGCTCGGCAGCAAGTGAAGATCCACAGCACTCTAAAAGGAAGACAAGAGCAGGACCTTCCTGCCTTGCTTTTATTTTAGTGAATCTCAATTACACAGAATATCAAAGAGAAAAATTGTTGTGCTGTTTAACAGTGGAATGTACTGTGGCTGCTGTTTAACAGTGGAATGTACTGTGGCAGCTGAGATCTCAGATACAAGCCTTCAGCCGTGCATCCTGAGAAGGTGGGTGGAGCTGATAAATGGCTGGAAGGCACCAGTTAGGAATGCTGACAGTGTTTGCACAGCACATGGTGTTTGATTTAGGAGTGGTTCTTGAATTGCTGAGTCTCTTAAACAGAGGCTGACAATTCAACATATTAAAGAATAAAAACTTGATAAATACTTTAATGGAAAGTACTATTTTCCAAACTGATGCACAGTCACAGAATCACAGAGTGGTTTAGTTTGGAAGGGACCTTGAAGATCTCCCAGTTCCAAACCCCCTGCCATGGGCAGGGATGTAACCTACTGGGTCAATTTCATCAGGGCCCCATCCAACCTAACCTTGAACACTTCAAGGGGTGGGGCAGCCATACTTCTCTGGGCAACCTGTGCCAGTGCCTCATCATTCTCTGAGTAAATGTATGTATCAGCACAGAGATGTTCCAGCTCATGTTATATAAATATTTATACAATTTTCAAAAAGCACCTATTTATTCCCCACAAAGTCACTGTCAAGTTATTTTTCTTTGGCAAAACCAAATTTCTAAGCACTAATATGATTATTTTTATGATTCATATTGCAGTTGCTCATCCAAGTTCCAGGCACAGGCTAATTCTTTCATAAAAAAAAAAACAGGGAAAGGATGGTCCCTGCCTGAAAGAATTTACAGGCTTGGAAATATCCCTTTTACATAGAATAAAAACTGTGGGCAGAGGAACCAGACCATTATGTTCATCACACTGAAGACGAGCCATGGTTGTTGTAGCAGTAGAAGAGCATCGTGGACTCTCTGAGCTGGCAACTATTCCTTTTGCTAAAGTGGTAAGTATTTCTGTCGTGGAATTGAATGTCATTAGCCACCCTTGGTTCTGATTTGGGGAAATCTCTCAGATGAGCAAGGTAAACTCATCTACTGCCCTTCACCGTGCCTGAGTGAAAAGCTTGTGTGAGCAGAGAGGTGATGGTCCACCCATCTTTTCATCTCTGCAGCTGCAGAAGGAAAGGTTACCACTCCAGCATTGAAGACATGGTGGATGTGAACTCTGTCAGCTATATCCAGGATATGATCTGAAACACCTACATAAGCCAGTCCAAAGAATGAGATTTACAGCCCTTAGAGGTCCAGGACAAGCAGATCTTCCAGGTCTCCCTGTTTTCCAGTAAGCATTAATCTTTTAAAATTTATTGCAAGTCTCAAAACCTGGGGTCCCAAGCAGACCTCACCGGTGCATCCAGCACTACCAGCTCTGCTGGTCTGGTAAAGGGAAAATTCAAGTATTTCTATTCAAAGCAGCACAGATAACTCAGACAGAGGTTATCATTGAGGATCCCTGAGGTTGCTTAAGAGAACCAAAAGCAAAATGTAAGATGGGTTCAGTGACAGGTTTACCCAAATGCACAAAGCATCCAAGAGTCTGGGCCCAGCTTGATGGAGCCTTTCATGAGGACAGGCTTCAAGGGAAGTGAATCAGTCTAAATTCTAACTGGTTTTCCCTCTGTGCCTCAAGCTCCTGCTCAGATCAATGCTGTCTTCTGAGAGGATACAGATCCAGCAAAATTCCTGGAGTATTCAAAGCAAGAAAGCTGGTGTCCATGAGCACAATGCAGATTTTGTGCAAATTATTTCCTTATATACCATACCGACAATTTTCATAATTAACATCTCCCCCAGGAAGATTTTTAGGAAGCGTTGTATTTGTCTGAGCTTTTTCTTTTGGTTGCTGGCAAAAGGAAGCATTTTGAAACAAAAGAGAGTGAGGCAAGGTTGGTAGAGGGGATAACACCTTTTATTTAGACCAACAGAAACTGGAAAAAAAAAGGGAAAAAAACCCCCATGCAAGCTGAAGCAGAATCTGACAGACATGGGAATGCCTCATGTGCCCTAAAACATGGATAGTTTTATCCATCTGTATCAGCTGATCTAATAAAAGATAATGTCTCTCATTACAAACTTTATGTTACATCTCTGGACAATCATGCCCATGGCAACTTTGCAACCAGAATGAAACAAAGACACAGAAGTGATGAGTGCCCTGAAGACGAATTTGGAATCAACAGTGCACTTAGAATGACCTGGAATGAAATAAAGGAGACCCTAAAGGGCTGTGGTCTGGTTCTAGAGAGGTTATTTAGGCTAGCTCTGATGTAATACTCTGTGTTTAATAAATTAACACAGACAGAGAATCATCATAGAATCACAGAGTGGCTTGGATTGGGAAGGAACCTCAAAGACTATCTAGTTCTATCCCCACCCCCCCACCACCGACCCTGTCATAAGTGGGGACACCTTCCACTAGAACAGGTTGCTCAAAGCCCCATTTAACCACGCCTTTAACATTTCCAGGAATGGGACATCCACAGCTTTCTCAACCTGTGTCAGTGTCTCATCACTCTCACAGTAAAGGATGTCTTCCTTATACCTAATCTAAATCTCTCCTCTTTTATCTTCAAGATGCTCCCCCTTGTCCTGTCATGATGTGCTCAGGCAAAAATTCACTCTCCTTTTTTTATAAATCCCCCTTTAAGTACTTTCAAGTTCACCTTCACTACATCCTTGTGAGTGTTTTGGTTTTGTGATAGTCTTACAACCACTAAATCTGTGGTGCTGCCTACATTCTATATTTGGTGGATACAGGATATTGGAAAGCAATGTCATGCAAAGATAATAATCAAATATTTATGGTCAATTTAAGAGTTTATGCTCAAGCAGAGATTCAGGTTTGGTTTTATTTACCTTGCACAAATTACTCAGTGCCCAGAGATTGTATGGGTGAGGAAGAACATGCCACCACCTTGGACAGATTGCAGACACCCTGTAGATCTGTCATCAGTGTGAGTGAAAAATGGGATTGGTAAAATTGTTTGGGATAAACTGTGCTTTGAAGCAGCAGTGCATGGAGGCCAAAAAGCTGTGAAAGTGTTTACTGGTTTTGATACAACCAGTTGTCAAGGCACAGGCACACCTCACAGGGCTCACTGGAGGTGCCTCCCTTGGAAGGGATTATTCAGCCCTCAGTCACCACTCACACAGCAGCGCACGAGGTGTGTGCTGGCAGCCAGCCTGAGTCCACCCTGCACCTTGCTGGTTGCCAGAAAACTAATGAGCGAATACTTCCGCTTTCAGGCTGTCCCCTCCCCTCTCCCTACACCTGCTGCTAGAACCAGCACTCTGCCTGGGACAACCTGGAACCTCCGTGGCAGCAGCTGGGCTGGGAGCGGGGGAAAGCTGACCCAAGGAAGAAAGACCAAGGGAAAGAGGATTGGAGCACAGCTGGGAGCCATCCTGCTTGTGGGGTAGGACACCAGCACTGAGCAGCAGGTTTTCCCAAACAGCTGAGCCCTCAGCTCCTGGGGAAGATGAGCATTTCATCAGAGCACAAGCCCCTTGGGAAGCAGGTCACCGGCAGCCTGCATACGGTGAGTAAGGTATGTCCTCAAGGGCACAATTCCCTCATGCGGGATCAAAGCACCCCTGTTGGGCTACATTCGAGTGGGGTTTTTTCCCCCATATGCTAATCTGAAGACACCAGGCCTTGCCAAATATATCCCTAAGAAGAAGATTCTAGTTGAAAAGCTGTGCCTGTGTGCACCTGTTGTGTTTCTGGAGGGCCAGGTCTCTCACAGGCATGCAAGATCTGACAACAGCAAATTACCAGAGTGGTTCTCCTTTGGCAAGAAATGGGATTCAATTAATACAACATTTAATTGGTCAGTTCCCTAAATAAAAGCCTGTTGTAGGTTTTGGGGTTTTCAACAAGTCTTATGAGTCTCTAATGATGCCAAAGCTGCCCTGTGTTGTTGACATGCAGGTTCATCAGGTGGGAGCAGTAGTTTTTCTAGCTATAAGGGAAATTATTGGCAGTCTCAGACAAGCAGCGTGTTACTAGGTGGAAATCAGTGATGAGATTATTTCTTTTTACTCTTCTCTGCTTTCAGACTATTGCTAACCAGTTTGTCTTCTTGGTTAAAGCTGAACAATCTCTTCTCCAGACCTCTCTGTATTAAGAAAACCCAAGTTTCCTATGTTGCACTTTTCAGATGTAAGTTGCAAAATGCTTCCCTATGGAAATAACTGTTTTACAGATTAGTAAACTGGGGCACAAATAGATGGAATGACTCTCCTGAGTGTCATCTTGCTGGCTAATTACAGAACTGGGAATCAGCTGGTGCCAGTACTTCCAGTCCACTGGGAACCACTTTGATGCCAGGCTAAAACCATTAATCAAGATGCAAGAACATGAAGTTGGCCTACTGTATAAAGGAATAAATGTTTTCCATTTGTATTAGTGACAAACAGCACGAAACATCTGACCTGCCATCTGAAAAAGGAGCAAAGGCTCAAAAGCCTGAGAGTCTCCTGTCAAATGGTCCCTGGTGGAGAGTGCTGTTGGTAGCTCTTGGACTAATAGCAAATCTCCTAGGGAGAGACTTGACTACAGAAACAGCTTTGGGCTGTGTTTTTCAGTAGGTGGAAATCACAAGATAGTCTCAGACAGAATAGTACTTGTCTTCTTGACCCAAGTGTAAATGATTGCTCTTGAAATTAAACTGCCCACACTAGTGCAAAGCAATATTCCAACAGGGTCTTTGACCTGAATCTCCTCTTGCTTCCCTGGCTTGCTTAAGGTGTGAGAAAATTTCTGCTAAATCTGATAGTTTGCTCCTGTTTAAATGAAAAGTCTCCATTGCACCAGGCTGTCTGTTCCTAGTCCCATCCTTTTGTCAGCTCTGTGCTTATTAAATCCTCTATCAGCCAATCCAGCTCAGTAAGATGAAAGAGAAGCAGAGCTGGCATGAGGTGAGCAAGAGAGTACACAGAGAGGTACAAGAACAGGACAGGGAGAGGGCACAGGAGGCCCCCCTTCTCTTGGTGTGTGCTGTGAGATCAGCTCACGTCATCCCGTGGGTCTGTAGCCATGTGATCCAGCTAAGCACTTACGTACACACTTCACCTGAGGCATGTGACCAGCAGCACTGAGGCAGTTTCTTTCGTGATCAGATCCAAGAAAGTGCAGGTGAGCTCCTGGAAAATAGGGTTGTTTATTGAGTGACGCCTTCCCAATGGCAGGTGTGGCCCGGCCTGGCTTGTGACTTGCATTACAGTACTGCTGGCAGGAGAAAAAGAATTCTCTTTCTTTTCTTTTCTTTCTTTCTTTCTTTCTTTCTTTCTTTCTTTCTTTCTTTCTTTCTTTCTTTCTTTCTTTCTTTCTTTCTTTCTTTCTTTCTTTCTTTCTTT